GTCTGAAGTTTGCCAATGAACATCTGAATGATTCATAGGAGAACTGGGTGAAAGTGTTGTGGTCAGATGAGACCAAAATCAAGCTCTTTGGCATCATCTCAACTCGCCGTGTTTGGAGGAGGAGGAATGCTGCCTATGACCCCAAGAACACCATCCCCACCATCAAACATGGAGGTGGAAACATTATGCTTTGGGGGTGTTTTTCTGCTAAGGGGACAGGACAACTTCACCGCATCAAAGGGACGATGGACAGGGCCATGTACTGTCAAATCTTGGGTGAGGACCTCCTTCCCTCAGCCAGGGCATTGAAAATGGGTCGTGGATGGGTATTCCAGCATGACAATGACCCAAAACACATGGCCAAGGCAACAAAGGAGTGGCTCAAGAAGAAGCACATTAAGGTCCTGGAGTGGCCTAGCCAGTCTCCAGACCTTAATCCCATAGAAAATCTGTGGAGGGAGCTGAAGGTTCGTGTTGCCAAACGTCAGCCTCGAAACCTTAATGACTTGGAGAAGATCTGCAAAGAGGAGTGGGACAAAATCCCTCCTGAGATGTGTGCAAACCTGGTGGCCAACTACAAGAAACGTCTGACCTCTGTGATTGCCAACAAGGGTTTTGCCACCAAGTACTAAGTCATGTCTTGCAGAGGGGTCAAATACTTATTTCCCTCATTAAAATGCAAATCAATTTATAACATTTTTGACATGTGTTTTTCTGGATTTTTTTGTTGTTATTCTGTCTCTCACTGTTAAAATAAACCTACCATTAAAATGATAGACTGATCATGTCTTTGTCAGTGGGCAAACGTACAAAATCAGCAGGGGATCAAATACTTTTTTCCCTCACTGTAAGCTCACATAAGCTAACTCACACACACACTCACCCGTTCCCTTTCCCTTACGTGTGCGCACAAACATACACACACACTAATAATCATAATATGGTAATACTGTAGGTCATCCTCTAGTCGTATTGATTAATTGAACTCCTGGCTCCTCGTCCTCTGGGCACTCAGACACACATACACACGCACACATACACACACACACACACAAACAAAGAGAAAACCCTATTAGCCGTTGAACAGCACAAGATGAGTATGCATCTCTCCTTCTCCGTTTCCTTTCTCTCTCCCTCTCTCGTTCTTCTTCACGGCTGTCCCTGAGTCCTTCCCATCCCACACTCAGCCATGCTCTGTCTAATGAGGGGCTTACGTATGTGCCTGTGTGTGTACATGTATGTGTGTAGCACTGTGTGTGTGTGTAGCACTGTGTGTGTAGTGCTGTGTGTGTAGCACTGTGTGTGTGTTCTGTGCATATGGAGTAGCCCTGTGGCCATGGGAGTTTGGTGTAGATCTCTTAAACTTATCTTAGAAGGTTTCTATCATACAGAGACCATGGTTAGTTTTCATGTATTACAACATAATCAACGTGAACTAGTGTTGGAACTCACTCCATGCTTGTTTACTTACTGTGCATCAACAAGCCTGCACGTCTCCCATGGTTGACTTTTCTCTATAGGCTGAATTACAATTGACAATCTACACATACAGCAATGGCAATTTCTATTGGTGTACCAATTCACACAAATCTGTGGACAGGTGAACTATGTTTATTTTATTAAGTCTACTGTAATTCTATGGCTCTGTATCTCACATTAACATTAGAGTGATTTCGGCCTCAGCTAGTTATTTATTCCTCTAGTCAACCACTCAACCTTCTCACACTCACACACTCTCACCAGTTTCATTAGTATTCAGTCAATTCATTGCTGTCTTTAAAATTGTCAAATTCAATGGTCAAGCTTCCAGCCATCAGGGACACAATCAGCTCCATAATCATCTGAATCATTCCACATCATCCTGCAATTTATATTTTATATGAAATCAGACTGGATGGCTAATTACTGAAGGACTGTATTTATGTCTGAATAGTATGGGAGAAATACACTGAGTATATTTGCCCTCAGAACAGCCTCAGTTCGTCGAGGCATGGACTCTACAAGGTGTCGAAAGGGTTCCACAGGGATGCTGGCCCATGTTGACTCAAATGTTTGGGTGGTGGACCATTCTTGATACACACGGGAAACTGTTGAGCTTGAAAAATCCAGCAGCGTTGCAGTACTTGACACAAAACGGTGCGCCTGGCACCTATTACCATACCTGTTCAAATGCACTTACATTTTTGTCTTGACCATTCCACCTTCTGAATAGCATACATACACAATCAATGTCTCAATTGTCTCGAGGCTTAGAAATCCTTTAATCCTTTAATCTGTCTCCTCCCCTTCATCTACACTGATTGAAGTGGATCAATAAGGGATCATAGCTTTCACCTGGATTCACCTGGTCAGTCTATGACATGGAAAGCTGTCATCAAAGCAAAGGGTGGCTATTTGAAGAATCTCAAATATAAAATATATTTTGATTTGTTTAACACTTTTTTGGTTACTACATGATTCCATATGTGTTATTTCATAGTTTTGATGTCTTCACTATTATTCTACAATGTAGAAAATAGTAAAAATAAAGAATAACCCTTGAATGAGTAGGTGTTCTAAAACTTTTGACTGGTAGTGTATATATTTTTTTATGGCACATGAGACACCGGTCTTATTCGCGCCCATCTCAGTGAACTAATCCATTGCGGAGGACACTGGGATGGCACAGTCCAATAAGAAGGGGAATGTGGCTGCAAAATGCACATCTCTCTCCAGAATGCGCTCTGTCCTGCCAATTTTTGCATATTCATTGTTTCATAACTTCATTGTGTGAATTGTTTACGTTTGATTGTTACTGTCTATCAATTCCCCATGACATACAGTACCAGTCAAAAATGTGGACACACCTACTCATTCAAGTGTTTTTCTTTATTTTTACTATTTTCTACATTGTAGAATAATAGTGAAGACATCAAAACTATGAAATAACACATATGGAATCGTGTAGTAACCAAAAAAGTGATAAACAAATGAAAATATATTTTAGATTCTTCAAATAGCCACCCTTTGCCTTGATGACAGCTTTGCACATAGGTTTGTATCATTTTCATTTAGATTTGAATGGAATTTTGATTACCAACATGACAATGATTTTGAGATACGAAGACGTTATTATAAATGAAATGAAACTGTTCCACGAAAATGTGCATATGAAAACCATAATTGCAAGTTTGCTACCTCCTCGTGTAGCCTATTACCGTGTAGCCTATTACCGGCAACTTCAGGAGAGTAAAGGCAGAATCTGCTAAAGCCAGGAGGAGCAGTAGGAGCGGGAGGAGGATGGTCAGGACAGGTTACGTTTTTTTCTTCTGGTTATCCTGATCTCTGGCTCCCTCTTGAGTCATTTGTGTCTTATTTCATCAAACAGTGAGCTTAAAGCATCAGACAAGCTCAATTAATATATCGTTTATTTGAACAAACTATATATCAGGGGCGCAACTTTCACTGAGGACATGCCCCCCCCCCACATTCTGAAATTGCATTTTTGTCCCCCCCAGTTTTATCACTGGAATGTGATACAAAACGAGGCAACGGTGTGCTTTAGGACCATGCGGATGCCTCCGAGCGGTCGGGTAGGCTGTTTGGAGTGTTTATCCAACTGGATAAAAAAGAAAAATTATAATAATAATAATGTCCCCCTCACTTCTAAAACCAAAGTTGCGCCCATGCTATATATGGAAAAATACACATTTAAAAATGTCGACCAATAGATTGGTCGAAAGAACAGACGACTTTCGGTCGAACAAGATTTGTTTTAGTTGAGGACAGCCCTAGTGTATGCACAAATGAGAGTGTGTGTTCCCACTAGGGGTTTGCGGCGGTCGCACACTCTTCTCTCCACTCTGTTCTCTGCCGACTGCAGTGATCCGAGCCCACAGGGTTGCATTAAATATACACGGCCGTCTGCAGAACACACACACAAAGAGAGAGAGAGAGAGAGAGAGAGAGAGGAAGAGAATATAAGAATTGAGGCTCTCACACAACCACAAACTGCTTGCATTCTATGTTGTCAACAACATCATCATTAAAACTCATCCCTACTCACTACACCACACTTACTAAGCCTACATAGTCACTCACTACTTCGGTATAAGCCTACATTACACAGTAGCCTACACACAGTCACTCACTACTCCTATCCTACTACTCACCAGAGTTTCCTTTCCAAAAACCTGAAACCTGAGTGGCATGAACCCTTCTCCAATCAGTACCTCTGCTCTGGAATGGGTCACGCCCTTCATTAACGAACCAATCAGATGCAGCGCTGGTCGCTTAATTGGAATCACCTGTTTTTCCATCTTCTTTATAGTCCAGTTGTGTGAGTTCAGTTTCTTTCTTTCGCCATCTGCCCAGGAACAGTCTGAAGTGCCACTCCTTCGGTAAGCATTTAAATATGAAGTTCAACAAATCTAGCCTTTGACGTTGCTATTCCTCAGTTTTGATAATATAGGCCTAAAACACATAAATATAGCTACTTTTTCCTTCCATCTATTCCAATAGTTGCACATTCAATGTGCTGATACTTTGTGTGTGTGATTCACAGAACCTGATCTCACATTTGTGAAACATGAATAAACAGGAAAAACCACTGTCAACACTGTGGGGTAGGTTATATTTGGCTAGAAACTGTTCCCATAGTGCCCAATAAATGTGGATTTCACAGCAGTTGGAATGAATCTGTCTTTATTCTGTGTTTGTAGGTTGTGAACTCAGCGAGTCAAAGAAAGAGGAAACATTCAAAACAGATGACACAAACCACCAACATCAACTCGCCCTGAGAACTGTAAGTCATTGTACTCCCCTTGGAGAATATTTGACATTTTACAACCAAAAAAGTGGACTGACAGGTCATCTTTATTGCAGCCGTACTGCGCATGTCAGAATACTATCACGTGATGACATTTGAAATGTAAATTTGGGTAGCATGACTGCAATAAGAATCTGGAATGCAAATTTAATAACTTCAGTGCGTTTTCAAATGCCTGACTTGTCCCGGGCAGATGTGTCTGGGCGCAGGCGCCAAAGAAGAGTTTAACATTGTGGCGTTGATTACCGGAGAACCAGATAACGGGAAGGGCATACCCATGGCAACCCTGCACGCCAACGGCATGCCCACGGCAAGTTGTCCCAATTTGTTCTGATTTGGCAGCCTGATTACTTGCTGTTCTTTATCGAGGCAGAGTTGGTTTTGATAACTGGTCGTGGGATTTGCTAGCAACGGAGTCACCATTAGTCGATTCTAGTAAAAATATAAATTGGAAACAGTTACCGGTGCTTAACTTTGTCCTGTACAACTGCGGATCCTGGATATTACTGACCAATTCAATTGGCATATTCGCGCTGAGTTGAGGAACACAAATGATACATTTTGTGGTTGTATTCGATGTGTATTTAAAGTATGAATTTCAGCACCCTGTGGAAGGACCAGTTGTACAGGACATGGCCTTTTCAGAATTGCCATTTTTACAAGTCGAGTGGTGACTCATTGCTGCTATTTAAATTCCGCGACCAGTTATCCAAACTAAACTCTGCCTCAACACAAAACAAGAGAACTGAGTTGTGTTCCTAAGTGAATTGCTGTGCAGGTAATTTTTCAACTGTAGGCCTACCTCTTGGCCAACCAGGCTGATTTGAAGTAGTCTTCCCAGTGACCTAGACCTACCTGCCTATTGAAGGTTAACCTAAATTGGCTAATGTGGAGGAATGGGCCTGAGGGAGTAATCACCAGTGGTTATAGGCCTATCCTATCTGGGTGCCCAGGTCTGTCAGTTTGAATAGCAGCACTGATTGTATGTATTGATTGTGTGTATTGATCTCTCCAGGTCAATCTGTCTGGGATAGACCTCCACCCTCCTGTAACCTTCCGGCTGAAGAGTGGCGCCGGACCTGTCTACATCTGTGGGGAACACGTGGCCTGTAAGTAGGGGTTTATGGAGCAGGGATGCTCCCAAAATGATGCTGGTTAAATGTAAAAAACAAGTGGCTCTAGCCTTACTGTAACGTCATTCAGCTAATCAAAGCCCTGAGGAGCAGCTGAGCATTAGAATCGGATGTGTTGGAACAATATTGCGTAATGTATTAGGTTGGACATCCATAAACTACAGGCCGTTATAATGTGACGCTGTCGTTTTAACTCTTGTTGCTTCCCAGTGGAGGATGACTTCTCAGGAATGGAGAGTGGTGATGAGATGGATGATGAGGTGGAAGAGGAAGAAGAGGAGGAGGAAGATATTGAGTCTCCTGTGAAGCCTGCTAAGAAAACACCTGCCAAGAATGCAAATGCTGCAGGAAAAGTAAGGACCTGTTTTTAAATTATTTTTGAATGATTTATATTTGTTTTCAAATGTTCAACATGCATATGAACACTTAGAACTATGAAATCCACACATCCATCCACACACTGATCCTTGTTTGGTCTAGTCTGCATTATCCTCAAATGTTGATGTTATTTTAACTCTTGTCAATTGTCAAATCCAAACTTTGCTTAACAATGAGATGGTATTGGTAAGACCACAAATTGATCTAGGATCAGGCTAATGTTCTTCCCCTCTTCCAGAGAAAGAAGCCAGAGGAAGCAGATGAGTAAGTATTGTATTTTCTTTAACTCAATAAATTTTTTAAATTATGTGATTTACTGAAATGTAATTGTTGCTGTGTTGACTTACCACTAACTGATCCTCACGCTCTCCTTCCAGACCTGCATCAGATGATGAGAACAACCCTCCTAAAAAGGTGCTTTAATATTTACTCAGCCAAAATATTTATTCCTTTATATTTACTTTCCTGTTCCATGAGGCTCTGGCTTTGTCCCAAATTGTACCCTATTCCCTATATAGTGCACCAAGTAGTGCCATTTGGGACACAGCACAATCTTCTGGCCTCCTCTTAGAATCATGGCTGGTGTGGTTTTAAAATGTCTTTCTGTGTTTCAGGGAAAGGGTAGGGGAAGAGGCAGAGGAAAGTGATCCCGGGTAAGTGACTACTCCCCTGAGGTAGTCCCTCCAGGTAATGCTAAGCCCTGAGTGGTCCTCTGTAGCTGTTGGTAGAGCATAGCCATTCCCGGACCACCTCTATGTCTAGGTCACTTTGGATGAAGTGTCAGCTAAATGGCATATGAAGTCTCTCCTTAATGCTGACTTGGGGTCAACCTACCCCCAATTACTAACATAACCATTTAGGGGAAAGGGGCATAAAGTATTGCACTAAAAGAAACCCCTTGGCGCCTGAAGGGTGTAGCGTGACATGACTGCTGAATTTGCTGATTGGCTGTACTGAATGACTAAACCATTTCATTTGTCTGTCTCAGGTGCTGCTCAAATGGCCTTTTGCATTTCTGATTGGCCAAAGGTTCTGTCAATCAACTGTTGGGTTTCTTTCTACCTGTTCATTCTTACATGGATCAAACTATTTAAACTAAGGCTGTTTATCCTGTTGTCAGTGCTTTGTAAATAAATAACTTGAAATAAATATTTTTGTCCTTGTACTAATCAAAATGTACTGTATGTAACTACACTGAACAAAATAGGAACTCAACATGTAAAGTGTTTTTCCTGTTTCATGAGCTGAAATAAAAAAAATCCAAAATGTTCCATATGCACAAAGCTAATTTCTCAAATTTTGTATACATTTATTTACCCTGTTAGTGAGCATTTCCCCTTTGCCAAGAGAACCCATCCACTTGACTGGTGTGGCATATCAATAAGCTGATTAAACGGCATGATCATTACACAGGTGCACCTTATGCTGGGGACAAAAGGTCACTCTAAAATGTGCAGTTTTGTCAATGCTGCCACATGTCTCAAGTTGAGGGAGCATGCAATTGGCATACTGACTGCAGGAATGTCCAGCAGAGATGTTGCCAGAGAATTGAACGTTAATTTCTACCATAAGCTGCCTCAAATGTCATTTTAGAGAATTTGGTAGTACGTCCAACCGGCCTCACAACCGCAGACCACTTGTAACCACGCCAGTCCAGGACCTCCACATCCGGCTGCTTCAACTGTGGGATCTGAGGATTTATTCCTGTACTAAAGCTCTTTTGTTTAGAAATACTCATTCTGATTGGCTGGGCCTGACTCCCCAGTGGGTGGGCCTATGGTCACCAATGGCAGCACCCCTGCCCAGTTGTGAAATCCATAGATTGGGGCCTAATTTATTTCAATTGACTGATTTCCTTATGAGCTGTAACTGTCAAATCTTTGAGATAGTTGCATTTATATTTTCAGTATAAATGGAATTGGTTGACACTTGGTTCCTCACCATTAATCTACAAACCATATTCTTAGTGGTTATCTAGGATGGTTAAGCAGCATGAGATGGTGTAATAAATGGAAGTGTTGTACAGTATTGATATTGCATGAACAGCCTGCCCTCCTATAGCTGAGTCTAGTTCACCCTGGCTCTGCCCTACTATATGCAGATCAGATGGGTTCAATTCAGACTGTATAATCTTGTTCAACTACAGCTGAACTGTAGCTCTGACTGGGGGAATAAACTCCAGCTGGGCTGAAGATACTGAGGAACAGATGGTGCTGGAGGACATCCACTGTAGACTGACACCTCCCAAATCAACCACTAGCACTTACATTAACCTTCTGAATTGTAACCGAACTATAGTTCTAAGATTGCTGTGGACCGAGAGGGGACACAGGACAGATGCCTAGTCCCAAATCAACCACTATACTTCCCTTGGTCCCTACCGCAAACCTGAAGTGTAACTGATATTGTACTGTAGTATTCTGTAAGGTTCTGTGAACAGATGGGTCTGCAGGACACAGCAGATTGACACCATCCCAAATCAACCCTAGCCCCTATACTTGACCCCTACCTCTAGCGTCAACACTTCCACTGGCCGCTATCTTAATACCCATCTGGACTGTAAAGTTCTCAGCAAGGTTATGGCTAACTGAGTTGGAGGACACAAGTGAGACATCACTGCAGTCTGACACCCCAGTCCCAAATCAAACATCTAGCCTCTATACTTCATTTGACCCCTACCTGTCTACCCCTTCCCTTGGTTTCTACCTCATGCCTATAACACAACTGAACCATTAAGCTGTTTTATTTTATTCTAGCTAACTGATGGCACAGGAGGACAGGTGAGACATCACTGCAGTCTGACAACCAGGCTATGGTCTGATTCTAAGGAATAAACCCTGCAATACCTGTGACAATTCAGGACCAGTTGTTGTCCCCTGCCTTAGAACTAGTGACAAACTCAAAACAGACCCCAGTGTTAAATCTAAAACAGGATTTCCCTATGAAACATTCTGAACAGCAACGGTCTTCTCTAGGTATCTCTCTCCTCTCAGGTATGTGTGGATAGCTGGTGGAACAACAGTTTCACAAGCATTTTCATTTAAATATGTTTTATTTGTGTACAAACAGTGCTTCTAATCTAACAGATATTTTATCTTCAGTGGGCTCAAATTTGTCAATTAACAGCACAATCCACAGCATCTTTGGCTTGATTGTGTGTACTGTATATCTTCATTGAGTATTAACTTAAGCGTGTGTATGTCTTAATTGACTCTTTGGCTTCAATGTGTTTATATATTCAGCGCATCTTTACCTTAAGTGTGTATCTATCTTCAATGAGTATTCACTTAAGTGTGTATCTATCTTCAATGAGTATTCACTTAAGTGTGTATCTATCTTCATTGAGTATTCACTTAAGTGTGTATCTATCTTCATTGAGTATTCACTTAAGTGTGTATCTATCTTCATTGATTCTTTGGTACGAGTGTATATATATCTTCAATGGCTCTTTGGCTTGAGTGTGGCTCCTTGCAGCTTGCATTGGGGTCTTTGGGAGTGGCTTCAGTTTATTCTTTCTCATACACATGTGCAGGCTGGGGAGAAACATTGAAGGGAGAGGACAGAGTAGAAGAGTAGAAGGCATTAGCATACATCAGACGTTGTAGTATTGACTGCATTACAGTGTGTGTATGTTTCTATGCTACATCTCACCTCAGTCTCTCTCCTTTTAGTCAACCTCACTCCTCCTCATGTCCTCACTCTTCCTCAGGTCCTCACTCTTCCTCAGGTCCTCACTCTTCCTCAGGTCCTCACTCTTCCTCAGGTATTTCTTCATGACAGAAGCAACGTCTCCCCCCTCGCTGCCCTCCGCATCCAGCCTCTCTCCCTGCGGCCCCCCACCTCCACTATGCCTCACCCCTCCTCCCTGGGAGCTCCCCCCAGATCCTGAGCTGGTGGAGCTGGAGTCGGAGCCCTTCCTGCTGCGTGTGGAGGGGGGCAGCTCTCCAAAGTGGACACTGAGTGCCCTCCGACCCCCTCTGACTGAACTGGCCAGGCTGCTAGTGGACTGGGCCCTTCGGATGGCTGGCAGAATGTCAGAGGCCGAGTCGTCACAGTTACTGTCTTTTAGGAGGCGGCGGTTCTGGAACACCATCGGTTCCGACCCCAGACAGCCCTCTCCACCGCCCTCACTGACGACGCTCTCCAGCAGCCTGCGTCTCATTGGCTGGGGGGAGCGCTGGGGTGAGCGCAGGGATCTGATTGGTTCTTCACCATCTTCCTCTGGGATGGAGATCGTGGGGGGGCGACGGCGGGGGGCAGTGGGGGAGGTGAGGGAGGAGAGGAGGGGGAGAGAGGGGAGGGAGGAGAGAGAATCGGAGGAGCTATAGCATTTGGCTCCGGAGTCCCTGGAGGCTGCAGATGAAGCCTGGGGTTCGCCTATGTTACGCAGGCTGGTGGCGCGGGGCAGCAGTGGGGAGGGAGGTTTGAGGATGCTGCGGGGCTCCTGGAAGTCCTCGGGGCCCAGGGAGAGGGCTGAGGTTCTGCGGCGGAGGGTTGAGGCCCCAGTCGTCTGGTAGATAGGGAGAGAAATAGTACTGCCACCCCCCTCCCCGGACTCTGGTCCCCCTCGCCGCTTACGAAGCCCCTCTAATAGCTCGGAGAGGGCAGAGGAGGAGGAGGCCCGACCAAGACGTGAACTACCCCCATTACCAACCACACCCCCTGGTTCGGAAACATCCTCATCTGGGTCCACACAGGAGCTGGGTGAGAGGGAGAGAAAGGATAATCAAACATTGGACATATAAAACAGTATTAGGGATCTATTCAATCAGATCCGCTTTAGCCAACATCCACATATGGTTGTTTTGGCGGTGTCGGTGGTGGAACTGCGTTAGAGCTGTGAAATCCACAAGTGGCTCCTGGCATTATACCTAAAGCGGACATTGCCATTGACATGCAGCCTTGTTTACAAGTTCTAACACTGGAATGTGAGATGTAATCTACACCTCCATTAGGATGATAGAAATCCTCATCATTTTATTTAATGATTTAGAATTTCAGGTCATTATTTCTATATAGCTACACTTTCTCATTCTGAACTTCTAACGTGATTGGGACGGGTGTAGCTTCGTGACAATGATCAAGAGCAGCTGCTCACCGATTTGACAGCTCCGACGCAGTTACACCTCCGACACCGCCAAAACATCAGCTATGCAGGTGTCGGCTATCGCCGGTTAACGCTTGATCTGCTTGAACGCTTGATAGGCCTTAGTATCTATGCAGTTACTATTGAATTGAACTACTGAAGTTGAACTGTACTGAACCAAATTGAACTGACAACTCACCGGAAGCTGTAAGTGCTCATGGTGTCGGTGACAGACTTGCGCCCCGACTGGTTGCTGATGGTACTGCTGCCACAGGGAGAGCCCCGCCTGGCCCCCCCTCGGGGAACGCCGAGACAATGACGGATGCCTTCGCCAACATCCTCCGTGCCCAGAGATTGAGAACCAACACTAGACACACTGTCGCTGAGGAAGAGAGGGAACACCCATTCTGTCACTGAGAGGCAGAGATCACACACACACAATACCAAGAGAGATAACACACATGACTCCACACAGCCAGAGATGCAACACTTCTAAGCCATGGTCAGCTCACAGCAGTTCAGCCACATTGTCCTCAGAGGACATTTCCTGTCCCTGTGTCCTCTCTCTCCTGCTGTGTGACTGCAGGTGGTGGCATATTATATTGGAGACACGGTCAGGGTGTCAGACATTCACACTTAGTACTCAGGTCACAGACTGTTACTGTATATAAAATAACTAACTACCACTTCTCCCATCTGCCATCAGAGCCACCAGAGAGAGGTGGGAGAGAGAGAGGAAAGATGAGGAAGAGAGGTAGATGGAGGGAGCAAGAATGAAAAAGTAATAGGTCAGAGAATATAAGTTAAAGAGAACAGAGAGAGAGAGAGAGAGAGAGAGAGACAGAGAGGAAGAAGTGATAAAGCAGGAAAGATTGAGAGAGGGATCGATAAAATGAGAATAGATAATGGGAAAGGAGATAGATAAAGAAAAAGAAAGAAAGAAAGAAAGAAAGAAAGAAAGAAAGAAAGAAAGAAAGAAAGAAAGAGAGCGTGAGAGAGAGAGAGAGAGAGGGAGAGAGAGAGAGAAGAACTGGCTTTTGTACTGTAATGCATGAGACTCCATGCATTATGGAAGACACAAGAATATCACAGCTGGTAAACTCTCAAACACACCCCTCAGAACAGAGAAAAGCTTATTGCGTCTCTTACACAGGGCTGTGTGTATGTCTGTGTGTCTTTGCTCCAGCCCTGTGGCTCTCAACCTTGTCCACCCACAGAGCACCAGACAAACCAACAGGGTGATGGAGCTATTGGGTGCCTCTGCAGACAGCAGCTGTCAGACCACAGCTCAGGCATTTAGCCATGCACACATCCACTCACAACAAGGCTATTCAGCTCATAACCAGCATTGCAACATGTCTGTCGGTCTGTCTGTCTGTCTGTCTGTTCACATTATCAACAGCCCAGGGACCATATGCTGTTGAAGTCGGAAGTTTACATACAAATACATTTAAACTCAGTTTTTCACAATTCCTGACATTAGTCCTAGTAAAAATTGTCTTAGGTCAGTTAGGATCACCACTTTATTTTAAGAATGTGAAATGTCAGAATAATAGTAGAGAGAATGATTTATTTCAGCTTTTATTTCTTTCATCACATTCCCAGTGGGTTGGAAGTTTATATACACTCTATTAGTATGTGGTAGCATTGCCTTTAAATTGTTTAACTTGGGTCAAATGTTTCGGTAGCCTTCCACAAGCTTCCCACAATAAGTTGGGTGAATTTTGGCCCATTCCTCCTGTAACTGAGTCAGGTTTGTAGGCCTCCTTGCTCACACAGTTCTGCCCACAAATGTTCTATAGGATTGAGGTCAGGGCTTTGTGATGGCCACTCCAATACCTTGACTTTGTTGTCCTTATGCCATTTTGCCACAACTTTGAAAGTATGTTTGGGGTCATTGTCCATTTGGAAGACCCATTTGCGACCAAGCTTTAACTTCCTGACTGATGCCTTGAGATGTTGCTTCAATATATACACACATAATTTCCCTTCCTCATGATGCCATCTATTTTGTGAAGTGCACCAGTCCCTCCTGCAGCAAAGCACCCCCACAGCATGATGCTGCCACCCCCGTGCTTCACGGTTGGGATGGTGTTCTTCGGCTTGCAAGCGTCCCCCTTTTTCCTCCAAACATAACGATGGTCATTATGGCCAAACAGTTCTATTTTTGTTTCATCAGACAAGAGGACATTTCTCCAAAAAGTACAATCTTTGTCCCCAGGTGCAGTTGCAAACTGTAGTCTGGCTTTTTTATGGTGGTTTTGGAGCAGTGGCTTATTCCTTGCTGAGCAGCCTTTCAGGTTATGTTGATATAGGACTCGTTTTACTGTGGATATAGATACTTTTGTACCTGTTTCCTCCAGCATCTTCACAAGGTCCTTTGCTGTTGTTCTGGGATTGATTTGAACTTTTTGCACCAAGGTACGTTCATCTCTAGGAGATAGAATGCGTCTCCTTCCTGAGCGGTATGACAGCTGCGTGGTCCCATGGTGTTTATACTTGCGTACTATTGTTTGTACAGATGAACATGATACCTTCAGGCGTTTGGAAATTGCTCCCAAGGATGAACCAGACTTGTGGAGGTCTACATTTTTTTTTCTGAGGTCTTGGCTGATTTCTTTTGATTTTCCCATGATGTCAAGCAAAGAGGCACTGAGTTTGAAGGTAGGCCTTGAAATACATCCACAGGTACACCTCCAATTGACTCAAATTATGTCAATTAGCCTATCAGAAGCTTCTAAAGCCATGACATCATTTTCTAGAATTTTCCAAGCTGTTTAAAGGCACAGTCAACTTAGTGTATGTAAACTTCTGACCCACTGGAATTGTGATACAGTGAATTATAAGTGAAATAATCTGTCTGTAAACAATTGTTGGAAAAATGACTTGTGTCATGCACAAAGTAGATGTCCTAACCGACTTGCCAAAACTATAGTTTGTTAACAAGAAATGTGTGGAGTGGTTGAAAAACGAGTTTAAATGACTCCAACCTAAGTGTATGTAAACCTCCGACTTCAACTGTATCAGAGAGGTCTAATAACTTAACCGTTACACTAAAACAGCCCAAGAAACAGCACTCTAGATTCAAGCCAACACAGGTGAGAGTACAGAGTACGCAAACACACACACTTGGATAGACATCTGCACGGACGCACACATGCTGGAACCCAGGGTTCTTACAGGTCTATCTTCTTAGCAAAGGATTCCACAGCCGTCGCAACACTGGAATTAGGAAGAGGGGTGAAAGGTCAGGGGTGTGGGTAAAGAGCAGTTATGATGTAACTTCCTTGTGAACACAACTGTACCTGTCATCCCATTGCTTTAACCCTCCCCCATACCTCTCTTACACATCAAATACAGTAACACACTCATACCTCTCTTACACATCAAAGACAGTAACACACTGTTACCTCTCTTACACATCTAACAGAGTAACACACTCATATCTCTCTTACACATCAAACACAGTAACACACTCATACCTCTCATCATCACTCTCGTCACTAGACTCCACCTCCTCCAGGGCTGCCTGCAGATCAACGATACGATGGATGGATGTCTCCAGATCAGCTTGTAATGTCTGTCTGACTGCACTCAACTCCGTCACTTGCATCTCCTGAGAACCGAGAGAGAGATAGAGAGTGAGGGGGAGAGGGGGGGAAGAGGGAAGGAGAGAAAAAGAGACATGTCTATAGGGGAAGTGACAGAGAGAGGAGAGGCCGCTCAAAGGAACGCCAAGGACGTGTGTGTGCCACAGGCCAACTGTACGTTTATTCATGCTATTCAATACAGGCCAACTGTACGTTTATTCATGCTATTCAATACAGGCCAACTGTACGTTTATTCATGCTATTTAATACAGGCCACCTGTACGTTTATTCATGCTATTCAATACAGGCCACCTGTACGTTTATTCATGCTATTCAATACAGGCCAACTGTACGTTTATCCATGCTATTCAATACAGGCCAACTGTAGGTTTATTCATGCTATTCAATACAGGCCAACTGTAGGTTTATCCATGCTATTCAATACAGGCCAACTGTACGTTTATCCATGCTATTCAATACAGGCCAACTGTACATTTATCCATGCTATTCAATACAGGCCAACTATAGGTTTATCCATGCTATTCAATACATGCCAACTGTAGGTTTATTCATGCTATTCAATACAGGCCAACTGTAGGTTTATCCATGCTATTCAATACAGGCCAACTGTACATTTATCCATGCTATTCAATACAGGCCAACTATAGGTTTATCCATGCTATTCAATACAGGCCAGAATGGATGGTTTTATAATCATGCCCATTCTAGTCCTTATTGCATCATCCGTCATATACTGTGGCACTGACCAACACACACCCACCAATACACACACACCAACACACACACACCAACACACACACGTGGGTCCTTGGTCTTCTAGTAGAGTGTGTGTGTGTGTGTGTGTGTTGGTCAGGGTTATCTCGAGGAGCAATCTTCCATATACAGAGACAGAAAGAAGAGAGTGATTTATCTATTAATCTTCCACTTTTCCCTGTAATCTCTCTCTCTCTCTCACATACACACACACACACACACACACACACACAAAATACATTGTTACACACACACTAGCTCATTCACTCAAATGTATGACAAAGACACTAGCGCTCAAATGGCATGAAGACACACAAACACACACCCTCATTGGCTCTCCAGGTTATTGACTGTGTGTGTGTGTGTGGGGGGGGGGGGGGTTAGTGGTTGTCATAGAGACATGCGGAATGGGATGGGGTGTGCGTGTGTATCCATAACCTTGAGAAGACAATGAGGATTAATCACAGCCAGCCAGACAGTGGCAAAGCTAGAGAGAGAATACAGGGGAGAATGTGTGTGTATCTCACTGAGAGCTTTGTCTGTCTGCGTGGTTGGTCGTTAGGTCGTTAAAGGGCATCTATCCGTGTGTGTGTGTTTGTGTTTCTGTGTGTGTAGGCTATATATGTCTGTGTGTATACATTGAGTGTACAAAACATTAGGAACTCTTTCCATGACATAGATTGACCAGGTGAATCCAGGTGAAAGCTATGATCCTGTGTTGATGTCACCTGTTATGTCCACTTCAATCAGTGTAGAAGTGTGTATGCGTGCCATTCAGAGGGTGAATGGGCAAGACAAAATATTTAAGTGCCTTTGAATGGGGTATGGTAGTAGGTGCCAGGCACACCGGTTTGAATGTGTCAAGAACTGCAACGCTGCTGGGTTGTTCACACTCAATAGTTTCCTGTGTTTATCAAGAATGGTCCACCACCCAAAGTACATCCAGACAACTTGACCCAACTGTGGGAAGCATTGGAGTCAACATGGGCCAGCATCCCTGTGGAACGCTTTCGACACCTAGTAGAGTTCATGCCCTGACAAATTAAGGCTGTTCTGAGGGAAAAGGGTGGGGGGGGGGGGGGGGGGGGGGGGGGGGTTTGCAACTCAATATTAGGAAGGTATTCCTAATGTTTGGTATACTTAGTGTATGTTTCTACAACTTGATTGGAGTCCACCTGTGGTAAATTCAATTGATTGGACATGATTTGGAAAGGCACACCTGTCTATATAAGGTCCCACAGTTGACAGTGCATGTCAGAGCAAAAACCAAGCCATGAGGTCGAAGGAATTGTCCGTAGAGCTCCGAGACAGGATTGTGTCGAGGCACAGATCTGGGGAAGGGTATGAAAAATGTCTGCAGCATTGAAGGTCCCCAAGAACACAGTGGCCTCCATCATTCTTAAATGGAAGAAGTTTGGAACCACCAAGACTCTTCCTAGAGCTGGCCACCCGGCCAAACTGAGCAATCGGGGGAGAAGAGCCTTGGTCAGGGAGGTGACCAAGAACCCGATGGTCACTCTGACAGAGCTCTAGAGATCCTCTGTGGAACCAACCATTTCTGCAGCACTCCACCAATCAGGCCTTTATGGTAGAGTGGCCAGACGGAAGCCACTCCTCAGTAAAAGGCACATGACAGCCCGCTTGGAGTTTGCCAAAAGGCACCTAAAGACTCTCAGATCATGAGGAACAACATTCTCTGGTCTGATGAAACCAAGATTAAACTCTTCGGCCTGATTGCCAAGCGTCACATTTGGAGGAAACCTGGCACCATCCCTACGGTGAAGCATGGTGGTGGCAGCATCATGCAGTGGGGATGTTTTTCAGCGGCAGGGACTGGGAGATTAGTCAGGATCGAGGCAAAGATTAACGGAGCAAAGTACAGAGAGATCCTTGATGAAAACCTGCTCCAGAGCGCTCAGGACCTCAGACTGGGGCGAAGGTTCACCTTCCAACAGGACAACGACCCTAAGCACACAGCCAAGACAACGCAGGGGTGGCTTCGGGACAAGTCTCTGAATATCCTTGAGTGGCCCAGCCAGAGCCCGGACTTAAACCTGATCTAACATCTCTGGAGAGCCCTGAAAATAGCTGTGCTGCAACGCTCCCCATCCAACCTGACAGCGCTTGAGAGGATCTGCAGAGAAGAATGGGAGAAACTCCCCAAATACAGGTGTGCCAAGCTTGTAGCGTCATTCCCAAGAAGACCCGAGGCTGTAATTGCTGCCAAAGGTGCTTCAACAAAGTACTGAGTAATGGGTCTGAATACTTATGTAAATGTGATATTTATGTTTTTAATTTTAATAAATTAGCAGAAATTTCAGAAAAACTGTTTTTGCTTTTTCATTATGGGGTATTGTGTGTAGATTGATGAGGGGAAAAAAAACAATTTAATCAATTTTAGAATAAGGCTGTAACCTAACAAAATGTGGTCTGAATACTTTCCGATGGCACTGTATATAGCGTGTATGAGTGTGTGTGTTACCAGCTCCATGCATCTGCGGCTGCTGTCCTGTTCTCTCTGAGACAGGTCTTCCACCTCATGTCTCATGTCGTGGAGGCGTTGCTGGTAGTACTGACTGTTCTCTCTCTCCCTGACCTCTGTCTGGGCACTCTGCTCCAGCTCCTCTCCCAGACGCACCACACTATCCCTCAGACGCAGCACCAACACCTACAGAGAGACAGGAGACATTTTTCTAAGACATTATTTTAATTTACTATTTCTAAATTTCAGCTTTGGCAATATGTACGTCATGCCGATATTGCACCATTACATTTAATTGAATTGAGAGAAAGAGAGAGATATGACAGGGACAGAAAGAGAAATAGAGAGAACGAAAGAGTGTGTAAAGATAAGTCAACTAGATTGTTTCCTGTCCATTTTAACATCCTCACCTCAAACCTCTTCACCTGTCCTCTCTGGAACTCCAGCTTGTTCTCCAGGTCACACACCCTGGCCTCTTGCATACTGACGATACTACGCCCCACGGTGGATGACTCCAGAAACTGCACCCTGGCCATACTGGTTGCGAGCTGGGGGTAGGAGAGGAAGAGAAAGGAGGAGTGACGGAAGGACAAGAGGAATGTCAGAGTAGGTTATCAGAGAGTCTCGTATCCACATTAACAGCATATGTAGTTCACCATCTCCCCAATTTTACTCAGCTCAGTCCTTACCTCTTCCTGGAGTGTGTGTCTCTGTTTCTTGACCTCCTCCAGTTCAGCCTGTAACTCTCTGATCTGAGAAATATCACTGGAGGACTGAGATAGAGAAAGGTAATGTTTTGATCATCTTTAATTTGAAAACCACAACTGTCAAAGTCTTTCTACATGGTTTGGAGCCACTATGAGGCAGAGATACCCACCTGTGCAATGAGGGCTTTGTGTTTCTTCATGAGTTCATTGAGGTCCTCCTGGTCCTCCTCTAGTCTCTTCAACAGATCTGACTTGTCATGTTGCAGCTGAGCTAACTGCTCATCCACCTACACATAAACACACAGACTTTTAAACTACTCTCTCCACTAGACTGTTGTCCTCACAGTAGGATTGTAACACTTTGATGTTAAAGTTCCCGAACACAACTGATAATGATATAGTAACAGTTTGTAGTAAGAGTCTAGTCCTCTAACTCTCGCACCAGACTCTTGTGTTTGCAGATGTTCTCTAGTTCTATCTGAGCATTCTCCAGTTCCATGGACAGAGTCTTCTGAACACTCTCCACATCCGCTCTCCTTGCCTCACTCTCCTCCAACTGACAGAGAGAGAGATGGAGAGAGAAAGAGAGAGCAATAGAGGGAGGGAGAGAGAGAGAGGGGGGGGGGGGGTATGTTTTGATTGTGATTTTAAACACGCCTTGATCCACATTCATAACATCATAGTATGTGTGTGTGTTTGCGTGTGTAGGTGTGTAGGTGTGTGTTTACCTGGCAGTGCAGGCGCTCTATGTGTTCCTTGCTGCCGGGTGCCTGGCTGTGTCCAGGGTTGTCTATGGTAGACAGTAGCAGCTGAGCATCAACCAGCAGAGCATGGGTTCTCTTCAGATCTCTCCTCAGTCTCTTCTCCACATCAAAGTCCCTGTGGCCCACCTGGCAGAGGGAGGAAGAGAGTTTAATGTTTATTAATATGTTTAATATGAGAATGTTTAATCCACGCACGCACACACGCACACACGCACGCACACACGCACACCCCTAAATTACAATAAAATAACCTCAAGCCTGTCCCTATCATGTAGTGGAGGAACTCTGGGGCATTGAGTAAACAATCGTTGGTTGATAAAATGTGTACTTCAATTTGTTACTTTCTATAAATAATGGGGCCAATGTGTGACATTAGGATAAAACAATTCTAAATGGTTTGTAAATATAAAATAAAATTACTTTCATGCAGTTCCACATGTGTACTTAGAGGAATAAAAGTGAATAGTTTGGACACACCTACTTATTCAAGGGTTTTTCTTTATTTCTACTATTTTTTACATTGTAGAATAATAATGAAGACATCAAAACTTCAAATAGCCACCCTTTGCCTTGATGACAGCTTTGCGCACTCTTGGCATTCTCTCAACCAGCTTCATGAGGTAGTCACCTGGAATGCATTTCAATTAACAGGTGTTCCTTCTTTAAAGTTAATATGTGGAATTTCTTTCCGTCTGAATGCATTTGAGCCAATCAGTTGTGTTGTGACAAGATAGGGGGGTATACAGAAGATAGCCCTATTTGGTAAAAGACCAAGTCCATATTATGGCAAGAACAGCTCAAATAAGCAAAGAGAAATGACAGTCCATCATTACTTTAAGACATGAAGGTTAGTCAATACGGAAAATGTCAAGAACTTTTAAAGTTTCTTCAAGTGCAGTCGCAAAAACCATCAAGCGCTATGATGAAACTGGCTCTCATGAGGACTGCCACAGGAAAGGAAGACCCAGAGTTACCTCTGCTGCAGAGGATAAGTTCATTATAGTTACCAGCCTCTGAAATTGCAGCCCAAATAAATGCTTCACAGAGTTCTAGTCACAGACACATCTCAACATCAACTGTTCAAAGGGGACTGTGTGAATCAGGCATTCATGGTCGAATTGCTGCAAAGAAACCACTACTAAAGGACACCAATAATAAGAAGAGACCTGCTTGTGCCAAGAAACACGAGAAATGGACATTAGACCGGTGGAAATTTGTCCTTTGGTCTGGAGTCCAAATTGGAGATTTTGGGTTCAAACAGCCGTGTCTTTGTGAGATGGAGTGTGGGTGAACGGATGATCTCAACATGTGTATTTCCCACCATAAAGCATGTAGAAGGAGGTGTTATGGTGTCGGGGTGCTTTGCTGGTGACACTGTCTGTGATTTATTTAGAATTCAGGCATACTTAACCAGCATGGCTACCACAGCATTCTGCAGCGATACGCCATCCCATCTGGTTTGGGCTTAGTGGGACTATCATTTGTTTTCAACAAGACAATGACCCAACACACCTCCAGGCTATGTAAGGGCTATTTTACCAAATGGTTTGGGATGAGTCGGACGGCAGAGTGAAGGAAAAGCAGCCAACAAGTGCTCAGCATATGTGGGAACTCCTTCAAGACTATTGGAAATGCATTCCAAGTGAAGCTGGTTGAGAGAATGCCAAGAGTGTGCAAAGCTGTCATCAAGGCAAAGGGCGGCTATTTGAAGAATCTCAAATATATCTTGATTTGTTTAACACTTTTTTTGGTTACTACATGATTCCATATGTGTTATTTCATAGTTTTGATGTCTTCACTATTATTCTACAATGTAAAAAATAGTAAAAAAAAAGAAAAACCCTTGAATGAGTAGGTGTGTCCAAACTTTTGACTGGTACTGTACATGTATACAACAACCAGAGGAGGCTGCTGAGGAGAGAACGTCTCATAATAATGGCTGGAACAGAGCAAATGGAATGGCATCAAACACATGGAAACCATGTGTTTGATGTATTTGATACCATTCCACTTATTCCGCTCCAGCCACTACCATGAGCCCATCCTCCCCAATTAAGGTGCCACCAACCTCCTGTGACAACATCATAGGCCTAGGGTTCATACAGACATTGGCAAGTCAAATTCAAATAGTTTCAGGGACTTTTTCAAGCACTTAATTGTAATTTTCAAGGTCCTCAATGTTATACAATTGTATAATTTAATACAGAACCCCCCTCCCCCCAAAAAGCTTGCAAAAAGTGTACAAAAAAGTAGGCCATTACCAATTTAATAATCATCTTTTTTTTAGGCCTTGCCAATGCATTGATTTTCAAATTATGATTACATTATAAAATATGTGAGAATAATGTGGACATTGCATTACTAAATAGATTGGATGCATGCATGGCTATTTCTTGTCACATAATAAAGCCATGAATAGCGGTACCATTAATCTCACCGTTTGAATCTCACCATCACTGTTTTTGTAATGAGAAAGTGACCAAAAACTTGTATGGAGAGCCAAGGTGAAGCCAACATTAGATGTTATCGTCCTCATAATAACCGCAACAGAGTAGCTCAACACCCTTCAGTTGAAGCAGCGGGAAACAAACGAAAGTGTCCACATCTCTCACAAAAACGGATCAAAAATGAAATCACAGATAATTATACATTTGCTACAATAATTACAAGGACATTTCAACCACCAAATTGAGGAAATGTCTGATTTTCAATGTAGGCCTATTCCAGTACTACTTGAAGTTCTGAGTTCAAGTAGAATATTTCAAGCCCCTTGTATTGTTTGAAATTGCAGGTGTAACATGGAAAACCAACTGTATTTGTCATGTTTTTTCTTTAAATTTACATTTAAATTTTAGTCATTTAGCAGACGCTTTTATCCAGAGCGACTTACAGTTAGTGAGTGCATACATTTTCATACTGGCCCCCCGTAGGAAATGAACCCACAACCCTGGTGTTGCAAGCGCCATGCTCTACCAGATCATATTGTGAATAAGCCCACTAGGCTATGTCATTTGTTGTCATTATATCCAGAATAATTCATTGGAATAGGTGCCCAATCCAAGGCAAAAAAACAGATGAAAGCATGAACACATTACCTTCCTTGATGCTTTCTCTGTTAAATCTAACAAGACCCTGCTGTAAATCAAGCAGACAACAACAGATGATCAACATCAATTCCATAGGGATATTAGATCCAACGTGGATCCAGGCACAACTGTCTTCACTAGCATATGAGACACCAAAATATTCTGGACAATCCTCGCAAACACCTTTTTTTCCAGCACTGTTGTTGCATTGCATGCGGTATCACAATAGCTGGTAAATAATGGCACCGGAGGGGATGGCTGCCGTTTTACGGGCTCCTAACTAACTGTGCTATTTTGGGTGTTTTTTCGCATTGTTTATAACTTATTTTGTACATAATGTTGCTGCTATCGTCTCTTATGACCGAAAAGAGCTTCTGGATATCAGAACAACGATTACTCACCTCGAACTGGACGAAGATGTTTTCTTTAATTAGTCCGACGCGAAGGATATACTGCTTCTCCGAGACCAGGCCCAAATCCCTGTCATTCGCGTGAAGAAAATACGGAAATATAGGGGGCAGAGATCAGGGTGCCTTGTGAGAATTTGTCGGAGAGTGGGTAACCCGCATCTACCATCCGTTCTATTGGCCAACGTGCAGTCACTGGAAAATAAACTGGATTATCTCCACTCGAGACTATCCTACCAACGGGACATTAAAAACTGTAATATCTTATGTTTCACCGAGTCGTGGCTGAACGACGACACAGAAAATATTCAGTTGGCTGGGTTTTCCGTGCATCGGCAGGACAGAACAGCTGTCCTGGGGTGGGGGTGTGTGTCTATCTGTCAATAACAGCTGGTGCGCGATGTCTAAAATTAAGGAGGTCTCGAGGTATTTCTCACCTGAGGTAGAGTACCTCATGATAAACTGTAGACCACACTATCTACCAAGAGAGTTTTCATCTATATTTTTCATAGCCGTCTATTTACCACCACAAACCGATGCTGGCACTAATACCGCACTCAACGAGTTGTATAAGGCCATAAGCAAACAAGAAAATGCTCATCCAGAAGTGGCTCTCCTAGTGGCCGGGGACTTTAATGCAGGCAAACTTAAATCCATTTTACCTCATTTCTACCAGCATGTCACATGTGCAACCAGAGGGGAAAAAACTCTAAAACAGAAGGAAAAAAAACTCCACACCACCTTTACTCCACACACAGAGACACATACAAAGCTCTCCATCACCCTCCATTTGGCAAATCTGACCATAATTCTATCCTCCTGATTCCTGCTTACAAGCAAAAACTAAAGCAGGTTGTACCAGTGACTCGCTCCATACGGAAGTGGTCAGATGACAGGACTGTTTTGCTAGCACAGACCGGAATATGTTCCGGGATTCATCCAATGGCATTGAGGAGTATACCACCTCAGTCACCGGCTTCATCAATAAGTGCATCGACAACGTCGTCCTCACAGTGACCGTACGTACATATCCCAACCAGAAGCTATGGATTACAGGCAACATCCGCACCGAGCTAAAGGCTAGAGCTGCCGCTTTCAAGGAGCAGGACACTAATCAGGACATTTATAAGAAATCCCGCTATGCCCTCAGATGAACCATCAAACAGGCAAAGAGACAATACAGGACTAAGATTGAATCCTACTACACCGGCTCTGACGCTCGTCGGATGTGGCAGGGCTTGCAAACTCTTACGGACTACAAAAGGGAAACCCTGCCGCGAGCTGCCCAGTGACGAGAGCCTACCAGACGAGCTACATAACTTTTATGCTCGCTTCTAGGCAAGCAACACTGAAGCATGCATGAGAGCACCAGCTGTTCCGGACGACTGTGTTATCACGCTCTCCGTAGCCGATGTGAGCAAAACCTTTAAACAGGTCAACATTCACAAGGCCGCGGGGCCAGACGGATTACCAGGACGTGTACTCAGAGCATGCATGGACCAACTGGCAAGTGTCTTCACTGACATTTTCAACCTCTCCCTGACTGAGTCTGTAATACCAACATGTTTCAAGCAGACCACCATAGTCCCCGTGCCCAAGAACTCTAAGATAACCTGCCTAAATGACTACCGAC